TAAGAGTGAAAACGTAAGCGACGTCTCCAGAAAGACTAGTTTTCGAACACGGCACTATTAATTGATGTGGATAAAATATTTTTATCGCACCATTGTGATTTGAAGCCAAATCGTATACGTTTAAAAAAGTCAAGGAAAAGAAGGGTAAATAGGGGCAAAAGTGAAAACATAAGCGACGACTCCGAAAAAACTTGTTTTCGAACGCTGCACCATTATTTGATGTGGGTAAAATGTTTTTATCGCACCATCGTGTTTTGAAGACAAATCGTATACGTTTAAAAAAGTCAAGGAAAATAAGGGTAAATAAGGGAAAAATAAGAACATAAGCGACATTTCCGATAAGACTTGTTTTCGAACGCGGAACCATTATTTGGTGTGGATAACATTTTTTTATCGCGCCATCGTGTTTTGAAGCCAAATCGTATACGTTTAAAAAAGTCGAGGAAAAAAAGGAGAAATAGGGGAAAAAGTGAAAACGTAAGTGACGTCTCCGGAAAGACTTGTTTTTGAACACGACACCATTATTTGATGTGGGTAAAATGTTTTTATCGCACCATCGTGTTTTGAAGACAAATCGTATACGTTTAAAAAAGTCAAGGAAAATAAGGGTAAATAAGGGCAAAAGTGAAAACGTAAGCGACATTTCCGGTAAGACTTGCTTTCGATCACGACACCATTATTTGATGTGGATACCATATTTTTATCGCACCATCGTGTTTTGAAGCCAAATCGTATACATTTAAAAAAGTCAAAGAAAATAAGGGTAACTAGAGGCAAAAGTGAAAACGTATGCGACGTCTCCGGAAAGACTTGTTTTTGAACACGGCACCATTATTTGATGTGGATAAAATATTTTTAGTGCACCATAGTGTTTTGAAGGCAAATTGTATACGTTCAAAAAAATAAAGGAAAATAAGGGTAAATAGGGGCAATAGTGAAAACGTAAGCGACGTCTCCGGAAAGACTTGTTTTCGAACACGGCACCATTATTTAATGTGGATAACATATTTTTATTGCACCATCGTGTATTGAAGCCAAATCGTATAAATTTAAAAAATTCAAGGAAAATAAGGGTAAATAGGGGTAAGAGTGAAAACGTAAGCGACGTCTCCGGAAAGACTAGTTTTCGAACACGGCACCATTATTTGATGTGGATAAAATATTTTTATCGCACCATTGAGATTTGAAGCCAAATCGTATACGTTTAAAAAAGTCAAGGAAAATAAGGGTAAATAGGGGCAAAAGTGAAAACTTAAGCGACGACTCTGGAAAGACTTGTTTTCAAACACGACACCATTATTTGATGTGGATAAAATATTTTTATTGCACCATCGTGTTTTGAAGCACAATCGTATACATTTTAAAAAGTCACGGAAAATATGGGTAAATAGGGGCAAAAGTGAAAACGTAAGCGACGTCTCCGGAAAAACTTGTTTTCGAACGCGGAACCATTATTTAGTGTGGATAACATTTTTTATTGCACCATCGTGTTTTGAAGCCAAATCGTATACGTTTAAAAAAGTCAAGGAAAAAAAGGAGAAATAGGGGAAAAAGTGAAAACGTAAGCGACGTCTCCGAAAAGACTTGTTTCGAACACGACACCATTATTTGATGTGGGTAAAATGTTTTTATCGCACCATCGTGTTTTGAAGACAAATCGTATACGTGTAAAAAAGTCAAGGAAAATAAGGGTAAATAAGAGAAAAGTGATAACGTAAGCGACATTTCCGGTAAGACTTGTTTTCGAACACGACACCATTATTTGATGTGGATAACATATTTTTATCGCACCATCGTGTTTTGAAACCAAATCGTATACGTTTAAAAAAGTCAAAAAAAATAAGGGTAACTAGGGGAAAAAGTGAAAACGTAAGCGACGTCTCCGGAAAGACTTGTTTTCGAACACGACACCATTATTTGATGTGGATAAAATATTTTTAGCGCACCATAGTGTTTTGAAGACAAATCGTATACGTTTAAAAAAATGAAGGAAAATAAGGGTAATAGGGGCAAAAGTGAAAATGTAAGCGATGTCCGGAAAGACTTGTTTTCGAACACAACACCATTATTTGATGTGGATAACATATTTTTATCGCACAATCGTGTTTTAAAGCCAAATCGTATAAGTTTAAAAAAGTCAAGGAAAATAAGGGTAAATAGGGGCAAAAGTGAAAACGTACTACGTCTTCGGAAAGACTTGTTTTCGAACACGACACCATTATTTGATCTGGATAAAATATTTTTAGCGCACCATAGTGTTTTGAAGAGAAATCGTACACGTTTAAGAAAATGAAGGAAAATAAGGGCAAATAGGGGCCAAAGTGAAAACGTAAGCGACATCCGGAAAGACTTTTTTTCGAACACTGCATCATTATTTGATGTGGATAACATATTTTTATCGCACAATCGTGTTTTGAAGCCAAATCGTATAAGTTTAAAAAATTCAAGGAAAATAAGGGTAAATAAGGGCAAAAGTAAAAACGTAAGCGACGTCTCCGGAAAGACTTGTTTTCGAACACGGCAGCGTTATTTGATGTGGATAACATATTTTTATCGTACCATCGTGTTTTGAAGCCAAATCGTATACGTTTAAAAAAGTCAAGGAAAAGAAGGGTAAATAGGGGCAAAAGTGAAAACGTAAGCGACGTCTCCGAAAAGACTTGTTTTCCAACACGTCACCATTATTTGATGTGGATAAAATAATTTTATCGCACCATCGTGTTTTGAAGCACAATCGTATACGTTTAAAAAAGTCAAGGAAAATAAGGGTAAATAGGGGCAAAAGTGAAAACGTAAGCTACGTCTCCGGTAGGACTTGTTTTCAAACACAGCACCATTATTTGATATGGATAACCTATTTTTATCGCACCATCGTGTTTTGAAGCCAAATCGTATACGTTTAAAAATGTAAAGGAAAATAAGGGTAAATAGGGGCAAAAGTGAAAACGTAAGCGACGTCTCTGGAAATACTTGTGTTGACATCATTTTCAGTAAACCGAATTAAGTGACTGATCAGATAAGTACGTTCAGCAGAAGGATGGTTGAAATCATACAAGAAGATAATGTCTCTATGGATCTCAAGGTTCTGACACCAATCTCAAGACAATCATTTATCGAGTAAAAATCCATCAAGAACCGACATCGTCGTCGATTTACCGATATCTCATGTCGGTTATGACATGTCGGTTACTACATGTCGGATATGACGTATCGGTTATAACTACACGAGCCGATATCTATGACTTGTTAAACCGACACCAAGAGGCGGTGCCAACTCAGCACAACTCATCATTACACCTGGCCAAGTGGCATGTTACTAAGATGAATGGCAATCAGCCGCCGTTGACTATTCTTATGTAATGATTACATATTAGATAAGTGTTGTAAATAGATAAAAAAGGAGAAAACAGTTCTCCAACCAGGGATGACACACATACAATAATATTCAGAAAAATTCTATCTCCTTCCACTGTCCACATAAGCCTTTGTTGATTTATCTTAAGTTTACTACAAATCCCTGTCGATTATACAGTTGTTAATTTTCGTTTGACAACAGTTTGGCGCTAGAAGGAGGGCAACCTCATCACGTTTTGAGGTTAACTTTCGCTGTTAAAGCCATTTTCGCGCTTGAAGTCATCATGTCGCAGTCTGGTCGAGACCACACAACCCATCCTCGCCAGAGCCAATCGACAAACCATTCTCCACGGCGTGCAACACCACCCCCTCCGGTCACGAGCATCACGAACTTTCTTCGAAACCCGGAGTTTATTCAAGGTTTAACCTCTTTGATAGCCCGAGCCATGCCCAGAAATTCGAATACGGTACCATTATCAATGCCGTTGACTACCAATCCAACAGAACATCCAACCCATACTCGTCATGACCCCGAAACGCATGCGGTGACGTCCCATGCTACGTCACAACCTCACCATACTTCTCCACGTCGAGAAGAGTTAACTCGCATAACTGCTAACTTAATAACGAACAATCAAGTCCCGGAGGAGCCCCCTGTACAAGAAATGACTACTGAAAGTCACTCTGCTCATCATCAGCGAATTCCGTCACGTCCTAGACTTACTTCACCAGTGCCCCATGGTCGTGAAGATTTGCGACGCCAGATTGAACGGAATCGTATTTCAAGACATAGTGCGGAAGAAATTGAAACTCTTCGTAAGCGCTTGGCTGAACTTGAGACCCGACAGAAATCACAGGAAGACTCTCCCCGACATGTCTCGACGTCGGGAAATGTCATTATTGAAGCTGATTCTCCTTTATCTCCGGAACTTACCGCGGAGGCACTCCCAGCTAAGGTAAAAATCCCACAAATTGGCATGTATGATGGGACATCGGATCCGGATGCACACTTGGGCCATTATACGTCTTGGATGGATTTGCATGGTGCCTCAGACGCTTTGAGATGTCGGATGTTTTCGCTTACACTGGGGCCACGAGCACAAAAATGGTACTATACTCTCCCACCTCATTCAATTTGGAAGTGGCAGCAGTTACGTGCGGCCTTCCGATCGCACTTTATCGGAGCTCAAATTTGTCTCATCCCAAAAGAAACAATTACTAACATCGTGCAAAAGGACGACGAGACTGTTAAGGACTACATATCTCGGTTCAACGAACGAATTCAAAACATGGAGCCTTGTCACCCTGAGACCCTGTTAGTAACCGCAATCGCTGGACTGAAGCCCAACTCGATGTTTCGCTGGACTTTGTGCCAAAATAAGCCTTCTACGTTTCAAGAGTTTCTTGTACGAGCTCAACAGTTTATTATTGCCGAGGAATCGATGTCGGTTCCAGTTTCGACTTCTCGGTGAAAGAAAGCAAGACTGAACTGGATGTTAAAAAGAAGAATAAGAAGAACTTTGGGAAAGCACAATTTCGAAACTTCTCCAAAGGATATGAGAACACTCCAGAGTCTAGGGCCGCTCGTGACCAGTATTCAGACAACGTCAGGACAGGCTATCAGGCCGTTTATTCCGCCGGAGCAGCCACCATATATGAAGAACTGAAAGGAAAAGGTATTATTCCAGACCCGAGGCCGGTGAGAACCCCTGAAGACAAGCTGGACAAAACTCGATACTGTGCGTATCACAAGTCTCCAGGACATAATATCGATGAGTGTCTCGGTCTTTTGTCAGCAGTCTCACAGTTAATCGGACAACCTCAGCTTCAAAAGTTCCGAAATTTTGATAATCGCCGGAAAGGAAGGCCCTTGGATCTTTCGGATGATGAAGATGATGATAACCGACCAGTTAATCCTAAAAAAGCCCGTGCAAACGACAAGGAGGTTTTCACGTTTTCTACTCATGTCAGAACCTCGACTGATAACTGTAGGAAATCCAGGACACATGACGCCTTAGACTCTTCACACTGCATACCTCGAGTCAATTCCAATAACAAGCAGCTGGATACTTCTCGGCGGAAAGCCAAAGCTTATGCCCGGGAGGCACAAAATGCCGAGAAACGAGTCATGAATGTTGATCTTCGAGATACCATCAACAAACGGAATTGTCCCATCACATTCAGTATCGAAGATGCCAATCTATTTGCTCACCCTCATTCCGACGCTCTTATTATAACAGCCCCGATTGGAGGGATTCCTGTTCATCGGATTTTGGTCGACACAGGAGCTTACTCAAGTATTTTGATGCTCCGTACTTTCAAGAAATTGGGTTTGGACCCAGCAGACATTAGGCCTTGCAACGACCAAATTCAAGGTTTCAATGGAAGCATTTCCTGCCATGTCGGAGAAATACTACTCCCTATTCGGTTTGGTGGCTTTGGACCAAAATCCAAGATCATTATGGAGACTTTCAATGTCTTGGATGTCCAGAATGAATATAATGCTGTAATAGGACGAACTGCACTTTACAAACTTCGTGCTGCTGTGTCAATTTTCCATTATACCCTGAAGTTCCCCACCATTGAAGGAGAAGGCACTCATTACGGAGATCAACGAGAAGCCCGGAGTCTGATGTTGCTCTCAACTTCGCGTAACTTTTATATGATTGAAGAGCGGGATATTGATACCTCTATTAGGTTGAACAACCCAACCCTTAATGCTGAAGGAACTGATCAGTTCGCTCCTGATACCGACATGCCTCGAGCAGATACTGACATTCCTCTTACGGATACCGATGTCCCTATGACGTCGGTTTTGCCTGAAACATTAACTGAAGTCCTTGATCAAGAGCAACCTTTTCATGAGAAAGACACAGGAATACACGAAGATATGGATCCACGGATGCAGTTCAAAGATGGAAATCATCATGTCCGAGCGGAACTAGTTGAAGATGTCAAAACCATTTACGTGGATGGATCGACTCAGCAAAAATCACTGCGCATTGGAGCTAACCTTCAAGAACCCATTCGGTCAAGCTTAATTCAATTCCTCCAGTCAACTCCGATGTATTCGCTTGGAAGCATGAAGACATGAAAGGAATTGACCCGCAAAAAGCATGTCATCGCTTGAATTTGGATAAGACTGTCAAGCCCGTTATCCAGAAACGCCGGAAATTCAGCCCAGACTGCCAGAAGGCCCTTGAAGAGGAAGTAAACAAGCTCATAGACAATAAGTTCGTCAAAGAAGCCAAATACCCGACGTGGATATTGAATCCTATCTTGGTCAAGAAAGCCACCGGCCTTTGGTGTCTGTGCATAGATTTTTCAGATTTGAATCAAGCGTGCCCGAAAGATAGCTACCCCATTCCACACATTGATTACATGGTAGATGCTACATCGGGACATCAACTCATGAGTTTCTTGGATGCCTATTCCGGCTATAACCAAATTCCCATGCACCCTGATGATGCTGAACATACCTCGTTCTGCTCAGCTCGAGGTCTTTATTGCTATGTCATGATGACTTTTGGATTGAAGAATGCAGGGGCCACATACCAAAGGTTGGTCAATAAGATGTTTGCTCGTTTGATCGGATACACGATGGAAGTTTACGTGGACGACATGTTAGTGAAATCGGAACGGGCCTCTGATCACATCGCCCATCTTTCCGAAGTCTTTGATATTCTCCGAGAGTATTCTATGGTGCTTAATCCCAAGAAGTGTACTTTTGGGGTTGGATCAGGGAAGTTTTTGGGATACATGGTGAGTCAGAGAGGGATCGAAGCCAATCCCGCCAAGATTCAAGCTATACTTGACTTAGCTCCCCCGACATCTATTAAGGGTGTCCAAGCTTTAACTGGTCGACTGGCAGCTCTAAATCGGTTCATTTCAAAGTCGACAGATCATTGCAAGCCATTCTTTGACGCTATCAAAAAGAAGAAGCCGTTCGAATGGACCGTAGAATGCCAGAATGCTTTTGACAACATCAAAGAAGTTCTCTCACGGTTACCAACGTTGCAGAAACCACTTCCTGATGAACTTCTGTATTTGTACCTGGGTGTAAGTGACGTTGCTGTTAGTGCTGTTCTTATACGACAGGATGGGCTTCAACAGTTCCCTATATATTACGTTAGCAAGGCGTTACATGATGCTGAATTGCGATATCCATATATGGAGAAGTTAGCCTTTGCTCTGATCATCGCTGCACGGAAGCTGCGCCCATATTTTCTGGAACATTCAATTATCGTGTTTACAACATACCCTCTCCGACAAGTCCTTCACCGACCTGACACGTCGGGAAGAATGATTAAGTGGGCGATAGAACTGGGATAGTTTGATATTCAATACCGACCACGAACTGCTATCAAAGCTCAAGTATTATCTGACTTCATTGCTGAATTTACTCCAATTTTCAATGCATCCATTGAAGATCCAACCTGGACTCTTTACATCGATGGATCGTCCACCGCTATACGAGCTGGAGGAGGGATTGTCTTAGTTAGTCCTGATCAAGAAGTGTTTTGTTACTCTGTAGCATTCACTTTCCCGACCACCAATAACGAAGCCGAATATGAGGCCCTCTTATCAGGCCTACGCTTTGCTGAATCCATGAATGTCTCCTCTCTCCGAATATTTTCTGATTCTCAGTTGTTAGTCAGCCATATCAATGGCACTTACGAAGTTAAAGAACCACGGTTATTACCTTATTTTGATCTCGCGAAGAAGAAACTGTCACGATTCAAAATGACGTTGGAGCATATACCTCGGTCATCCAACATTCAGGCAGATGCTCTTTCACGTTTGGCCTCGTCGACCGATTTGAATAATGTCGAGTTCATGCAAATTACTCAACAGGCGACCTCATCCACAGTCTCTACCGACGTCGTCATGATTGACGCCACTCCACCAACTTCAGATCCGACGTGGATGGATCCAATCGTCGACTATCTTCAAACTGGTGCCATACCTGAAGACCCAAAAGAAGCTCGCACTCTTCGTGTTCGTGCTGCTCATTTCACTATTGATGAGGGAACGTTATATAAGCGTGGATACTCTATTCCATTGCTTAAGTGTTTATCAGAGATTGATGCCCAACGGGTTCTTCAAGAAGTACACGAAGGAGTCTGCGGTACCCACCAAGGAGCTCAAGCCTTATCCCACAAGATTCTCCGACAGGGCTACTACTGGCCGACTATCAGGAAAGACGCCGCAGACTGGGTGCGGAAATGTCACAAGGGCCAGATATTCGCTCCTAACGTTAATCAACATCCTGAACTTCTCAAGTCAATATATAGCCCATGGCCGTTTGCAAAATGGGGAATTGATTTGATTGGCCCACTTCCAACAGCAAAAGGGGGTGTTCGGTTCGCAATATTAGCTGCTGACTATTTCACTAAATGGGTTGGGGCCGACCCTCTTGCAACCATCACGGAACAAAAGATGATCGATTTTGTATGGAAATCAATCGTTTGTCGGTTTGGAATACCGAACTCCATCATAACCGACAACGGTCGTCAGTTCGAAGGGAAACGATTTGAAAGCTTTTGTGAAGATTACGGCATCAAGCATTTTTTCTCGTCACCTTATCATCCACAAGCTAATGGACAGATAGAAGCCGTAAATAAGATTATCAAGAATGGTCTGAAAACTCGGCTAGAGGCTGCAAAGGGATCATGGCCTGACGAGTTGCCTTATGTCCTCTGGTCCTACCGGACGACGACAAGAAATTCGACTGGAGAAACTCCGTTTTCGTTAGCATACGGGACTGAAGCTGTGATACCGGTTGAACTTACTTCTCCGACATATCAGGTTACTCATTTCTCTGAAGAAACCAACTCGGCAAACTTGAAAGCCAGTCTTTATTTGATCGATGAGTTACGAGCTGATGCTGAAACTCGAAATGCCGCTTATAAATGACGTAGTGAAAAGTACATCAATTCCCGACTCAAGCCGCACTCATTCGTCAAAGGAGACTTTGTACTGAAAAGAGTCACTGGGGCCAATGTCGGCCCGTTACAACCAAAGTGGGAAGGACCCTTTAAAGTAAATCGTCTGATTTCTAATGGTACCTAACGACTCGAAACTCTAGATGGTGTTCCCCTTCAATATCCCTGGCACACAACCTATCTGAAGAAGTACTACCAGTAAGCTTGAAGGCCAAAGTTCTGTCCTTGACGTGTAAAAAGTTTTTGTCCTACTCATGTACAAGAATCACATTTTGCTATCAATAAAGTTTGTGTGACGAACCTCTATAATTTGTTCGATCACTCGGACCACAATAAATCGGTCCTCGTTGCTAAGGCTAAACGTGTTTCATACCCTGAAGATGGTATGACCTACAAAAACGCGACAAAGCCGGATACTTCCAAGCCCTGAAGTTGGTTTGGGGAGGCTTATGCTCTATAATATCAAATCCCGACGTTGATTTGATGAGCTCACAATAAATATTTGCAGCAAAAGCAAGTCTTTTATGACTTGTTCCGATAAAGAGTTTGCAGATGTCGGATAAACTATAAATCATGCTGACACCAACAATTTAAGACAAACTCAAAGCAAGACAGAGTATAAGTATTAAGTATCACGTCGGAGTAACTACGAACATGATCCATTAAACGTTCGTCTATCTTTCTCCGACATGTTTTGACTTGGTACAATAAATGTCAAAACAACACATTCATGAAACATAAAACCAAAACATTAAATTTCATTAATCATAGGAAATTGTCATTACATGCCATATAAAAAAAAAAGAAGAAAAAGAAAAATAGACAGAACAAATTTTATGCATCTTTTTGGGTCCCCGACGACGAAGCCTCTCCAGCTGTGAAAGATTGGGAGTTCCCGGCTTCGGCTTTGCCCTTGTCCGCCGCCTCCACATGGGTTATCAATCTCTCGCCCAGGCGTTGTATCACCTCCTCCTCCTTCTCTTCCATAGCACGAACGACGTCACTCTCTTTTATAATGACGACATCGTCGTCCTCGTGCAAGATTCGGTCGTCGTCGGAGGGGATCAGTTCGGTCAGCCACCCTTTAGCTTTGGCATCCTCCTCAGTCACTTTCCTCAGGGCAAAGCCGGTAATTGCCTCCATTAATTCCTCATCGGATAAGCCCTCCAAAGTCTCGACAACGAACTCCTCAGCGATTGTCTCTATACACATGTTCGCCAAGTCGGGTTTTTTCATCTTTTCCACTTCGAGGACCATATTGACGAAGGCCCGACGGATCTTAGCCCTGCGCTCTTCCGACAGTGGCGCCATGTCCAACTCCAACATTCGACTCTCCTTCTGCTTCAGAAGTCAGTCGGCGAAGTCGCGTTCGTCCTGGTCGGCCGGGATGTGAGCATTTTTTATCTCGGGGTTAAGGCGATATTTTTCCATTTTGTGAAACAGGAAGATGCGCAGCTCGTCAATGGTGTAGAGGCCGCTTTCCACTCTATCGATCACCCAACGAACTGTCAATGCGGCATTCAACTCCAAGTCCCACTCGGTTACCGCATCTGCACTCAACGCCTTGTCGGATTCTGCCACAGTCTTCTTACCGACGTCTATACCCTCCAGGAATTTGAGTTCGGCTGCAGCTGTCATCTCCTGACGAAGTTTGCTCATAGCAGTCTCATGGGCCTCACGACATCGGATCAGTTCAGTGTCCTTATCGGATCGGTCCTTACGGACAGCCTGAAGCTCAGCCCTTAACCTCATGAGCTGTTCATCTTTTTCTTTGGCCATTTCTTCGACTTTGGCCAGCTGAACCGACATGAGGTCATGCGCCAGTAAGAGATTTTCCCTTTCAGTCTTCAAGGCGCCCACCTCAGTTTATGTCGTTTTTAATTGAGCATCTTTCTCCGACATCGTCGCCTCATAACGAGACTTTTCATCCTCCAAGGACGCTATGGCACCTTCCTTCAAGCTCAACTCATGCTGCTTCTCGTCAAGCTCATGTACTCTGCCCCTGTAACTTTCTTCAGCCACGATGAAGCTGACCAGTGCCCGTCCCAGACAACCCCGGGCATAGCTAAACTTTTGGTCGTCGGGCAGAGACGCGATCCCGGCGTGAGTCTTTGGGTCCCATGACATCAGCGGAACTTTCGCCGCCTTCACCGCCTCATTAGGGACCCGATGGTTAATTGTCACTTTTGGCTCAGCGACTGTTTGGAACATCTAGAACCAAGGGTCAAACACACCTTCCGGCAACGTCAGCTCCGCCGCCTTCTTCTCATTAACCTTGTGGAAGGAGTCCCTCAAGATGATCTCAGGTTCTTCCTCCTCCTTGTCTTTGCCAGCGCCAGTGTTCGGCTTCTTCTTCATTCTTTCGGCCACGTGAGATACACTAGATCTCTTACGCCGTTGGACTACATTCAAAAGCGGCTCTTCCGACACCTCCCGCGAGATGTCGGTCACCACAGTGGGTTCCTCTACCGACGTCATCACTTGTTGAATCGGAGCAACGTCAAGTGGCGGGACGTCGGTAACCAACGGCTCACTTACGATTGCCGGTGTCGGTTCCACCCTTGTAGACAATGGTTAACCAACAACACTTTGAGAACGGTTGGGGTTCTTTTTCCACGACTTCAGAAGGTTCATACGTCCACCCATCTCTGTTGATCGAAGGTTTTTGTTTTTTCCGACCTTGTTCTTCAAATCAAAATTCGGATTACGCCTCCGGTGTTCTTCTGCCTCTATGGGATCTCCAAAACCGAAGTATCCCAGCAATGGGTAATAGACTGTTACAACGGAGTTAAAGTTAGACCGACCTCATCAATGTGAACGATAAAACAATATAAGCGAGAAAATTACCTGGTTGGAACGAAGAATCAAGTATCCCAGGAGATAAACCAGCTAGCTCTAGTCGAGAATCTTTCACGAGTCGCTGATATCGTCGTTTATTATGAAAGACTTCGAATAACTTGTCCACCCGATCGTACAGTAGGCCTTCGAACTTGGGTTCTCTCTTTCCCGTTGGTTTTGCTACAAGGTCACAAAAGTCCACCTGTTAGCGGAAACAAAAAACAAGATATTAATAACCGAAGTGAAGAAAATGGTGAACAACTTACAATAACCAGATTTAATAGTCGTTGGGATACTTGTCCCATCGGCAAGAAGATCATTAGCGAAGTCGGGGCACTGCCAGTCCCCACCGACCCACAACCATTCCTCTTGGAAGCCATGTAATGTGTCGGGGACCTCCATTATTAACTCGCCAACTTTGACTCTTGGCTGGGGTTTACCGACAATGGAAAAAGTGAGAAG